GATTAATCCTGAAGTGCATTGAAACATCTGAGGTGAAGGGGCACGGTGGAAATTCCTCGCGGGCTGGTAATAATAACTGAAAGCTGCTCTGTGAAGCAAACCTGAGGCTGACTTGGTTTTTAATGGACATCTGTCTGTAGGGGGAAAAAATGCCATGGCAACTGGCTTTCTTGTTGGCATGCCTGCCTCAGCACAGGGCTGGGAGAGGATGGGTATTGGAGGGGCTGTGGAGCTGTGCCGGGAAACCTGGAGGTACCGCTCGGCCGGGCTGGGAAGCAAAGGTTGTTTATGCTCTGTGAGCACCAGATCTTGAGGGATTTGAGAGCTAAATCTTGGCATAACGATTGCTTTGTGTGCTGCTGCTGCTGCTGCTTAGCAGGAGCCAGGCTGGGTTCCCCCCTCCCTTTTCGAAAAATGTGAAATCTAAAAGAGTAAAGGGCTCGAGTGACGATTTCCTGGCGGTTTGCTGGGCACGGTTGGTGTCTCCCAGTTTGCAGCTCTGTCCCCAAACAACCCCTCTGAACCCGTGGCTTTGTCACACGGATCCTGGAGCTTTGCTGCCCCAGGAAGGAATTGCCCTTGTCCAGTGTCCTGAGGAAACTGAGAGCAAAGGTCACTAAAGAGTTGATTAAAGGTGAAACAAGCTCTGGCACTTTTGCACTTCTCTCTTGAGCTCCATGGACATGAGGGATGGACATGAGGGATGGACATGAGGGATGGACATCAGGGATGGACATCAGCATTTTCCTTTATCTGCTGTTGGTTGCAGCAGAAGCAGCTGGCACACATAGCTCAGCAGGGACATCCATGCCCTGGCTGCACTCACCTGGAGGGGGATGCTGCAGGGCTGAGAACTGGGAGGAAATAGCAGTAAAACCACAACTGTGGATCAAAAACTGTACCTGATGGGAGCTGAGCTCTGTCTGGGGCTGAGCTGTGAACTGGGGGGGCTGCAGGCAATCAGAAGACCCTACACAGAGGCTGGGGTGGGGAGGAGAGGCAGAGGTGGCAGCAGCTGTCCCACCTGGTTGGTTTGGGGCCTGTGCTTTGGTTTTGCTCATGGTCTTGCCTGCACCAATTCTGGTTTGACCACTGGTGTGTCATCAGTTAAAACTCAGGGCAGCTTTGCTGACGAGCTACATCCCATCTCTCTGGGAAGTGCTTCGTGTGTCAGAGCACCTGATTTGTTCTCCTAATATCCCTCCAAGTGTTTGGAGATCCCCGTGCTCACAGCACTGTTCACAAAGCTTAATTCTCCAAGAGGAGGGTCGGGGATGATGGGACTAAAGAACAAGAGTGTGCAGGGAAGGGAAAACACGTGTGTAAAAACCCTCAGTTCTCTGAGCTCCTCCAGCAGCTGATTTTGCTCCAAATAAATTCCTGTGCTGCTGTCCCTTCGTATCCAGGCGTGTTTTGTCTTGCTGATGCTGTTGAGGATCACCCTGGGTAGCTCAAGGAAAGGAGCTCAAGACCCAAGAGCAGGTTAGATCAAGGAAATGTTACATCACGTAGCACTTCCTGCTCAGTAATGATTTTATCGGGCTCATTCATCTCCCCATGCAAATCCAGCCTGCACATGTAGTCACAGATCTGAATGGAAACTGGAGGCTTGGAAAAACCTGGATTGTGGACAGGAAAGGCAAAACAGGACATGGTTCTCCATTAGGAATTGTTGCTTTTCTTTTTTTGACCATAGAGCAGGTGATTGAACCCTGAATGTTTCTACAGCCAGACCATCATGTGCACTGTTGGCTGCTCTTTGTTACATCACTGACAACCAAAATATCAGCTGTAATGGTGGAGAAGAGGGAAAAAAAAGGTGAGAAATTGATAAATACAGAATATTAGGAATGGTATGAAGGGAGAAATAAAGGGAATTGTGTGCCCTAACAGCAGTAAAATCCCATGACACTGGAAATTTGGGTGATTCAGTGTACATGTGCTCACCACAGGAAGGTGAAGAGCTCTGTCCATGCTGGTAGTCACTGGAGAATCCCACTGCCACTGGAAACCAACCTGCAGGTTCTCTGGTGGTCCCTCCTGCTGGAGCTATTATTTGAAATGTTCACTTCTATATTTACTTTTGAGGTGGATTTTTTAATGAAGATGCTCGACAAACAGCAAAGGGAGGGCACAGTGAAAGCCAAACAGAGCTTAACAAAACAAAGAAGACATTGAAGGAGAAAACAAGTCAAACTGCAACTGCACTTGAGTCATTACTGCACAGTGAACACCAGTCCCTTCATACCCTGCTTTCCCAGCACGTAATGGCCCCCTAAAATGTACTTTAGGGTGTTCATATCATGTCTTAGAAACCATCCCTGCCTGTGGAAACTTATTTCTGCCTTTTTTTTTGAATATCAAGGGCTGCTTCTTTGCCAGCAGGACCCCACAGCGTGGCTGCCTCTTCAAACCACTGCAGGTGCTTTAATGGTTCTTAACCTTTAAACCTTTAGCCTCATAAATAGTCACTAAATTGCTGGGAGCTGTAAACATTCTTGGCTGAAAAGGCATTGAAGTAATGTCCCCTAAAGAAAAAAAAAAACACAACTCAACGTGAAGTGACCTGGATGTGTTACAACCCATCTCTTATCACACTTCCTCCTGCTTTCTGTTGGTAACTTGCTTTTTAAATGAAAGCTGATGAAAGGCACTGAGGGCAAGTAATCTTGGCTCTTCAAGTTCCATTCCTGCTGCATTTCCCCCAGTGGGGCAGGAATCAGGGAGTGCTCCTTGCCTGAGGTCCATAGAAGCTGTGGAAGAATTTATGAACAGCACCCTAAGGAAGTTGGTTGATAGAATCACGGAATATCCTGAACTGGAAGGGATCATCCAGTCCAACTCCTGGCCCTGCCCAGGACACTCCAACAATCCCACCCTGTCCCTGGGAGCGTTGTCCAAACACTCCCAGAGCTCTGGCAGCCTTGGGGCCGTGACCCCTGCCCTGGGGAGCCTGTTCAGAGTCCCTCCAGATCTTTCAGCATCTTTGTAGCCCCTTTGAGCACTCCCTAACAGCTTTATATCTTTCTTGTATTGTTATATATTATTATGGTGATATACTAGTCTTACATTGTTATGTATTGTCTTCTATTGGGTGTTCTTTATGCTAGTGTTTTATATATATATATATATATATATGTCTTTTTTTAGCTGCTCTTAGGTAAAGTCACTTATCCCATCATATGCAGTGAACCAGACTTCTGTTTTTGCAGTGAATGGTCCCCAAATTTCTGCCAGTCAGCGCTAGCACAAGCTACCTTTGGTTCTGGCAGGTGTCGGTGTCTCCTAAACTCTTGGGCTGCAGAAATCCTCAGTGTCCTTCTCTCTTGGTTTTGTGGCTGTGAAGTAGCAAAGAGTCCTGCGAGTTCACTAAAATGACTGAAAAATGTAGTTTCCTTAAATCACTGTCTCTGTTGAAGAGTATTTTCAGTGGGAAAATTTTTCATGCTGAGCCCCTTTCGGGTAGTATCTGTCATTCAGCTCATAATGTGTTAACCACAAGGTTCCTTGGGCCTGTGAGGTAAAACAAAACAATCGGTTCAACAGTCAAAATTGTAGGGAAAATGCTAATTTAAGAAAGCTGTTCAGTATTTGTTATCTTTTCCCCATTGTGTGCCACCCACAACTCTTCCAAGTGCACAGGAAAGCTGTTGCTTTAGGAGCAAGGTGTATAAATAATGCCTGCCTAAGAGCACTGCTCCTTTTTATTCCATTGGAATCCTGTGGGATTTCTAGAGCATTTCTATGAATAGATTAAACTCGGAGCATTTCGAGTAACCATGGCTATAAATCAATTTAGCTCTTGGTTTTCAAGTTGCATCTGCTCTTACTAATCCTGTACGTGCATAATTTGGTTTTTAATAGGACAGGCCAGGCTTTATTTTTGTGTATTGGGATGAGCTGGTGAAATTACCACTCTCAGGTTCCACACACAGCTGCTGCACTGTGGATTCCTGGAGGGAGCCTAGTGATGGTGGACAGGTAACACGGAGCATCTCAAATATTTAATCTGTCAGTGCAGCGCAAATTTTAATGTCTTTCACGTTCGAGGAAGCCCCCTCTGCTCCAGAACCTGTAAGATGGAGGGGCACTGCACGGGAAGCAGCCATCCCTCCGGCCCCATCTTGCCGTCCCCCCGGAGCAGGGCTGTGTTTGGCGGCGGTGGGATATGTTTGGTGGTGGCGGCTCGGGATCTCTGCGGCTCAGGGCATCGCCCGCTCTGCGGAGCCTGGCTTCTCCCCCGGCATTTCACAGCCCGCGGGGGCTCGGCCATTTTTCCTCCATTTCGTTGTCTCTCGCCGCCTGGTTTCTTTTGAACGATGCGCTGCGGGCCGAGCCCGCCGCCCTCCCACCGCCGCTCGCTGGGGCCCGGGGAGGGGCGAGCGCGGCCGGGCCGCGCCAGGCCACGGCCTGCGGGGCCGCAACGCGGGGATCGCGCCCACGGGGGCCGCGCCGGGAGGGGCGGTGGAACCCTCCGGGTGCCGCGGGCAGGCGCTGGGGGCAGAGCGGACTGGGGGGACCCTCCCAACACCGCCGGGGCACCCCGGGCAGGCCGGGCCGGGCGGGCGCTGCCGCCGTCCCGCGCCGCCGCCTCACGTGTCCCCCCTCCCTCCCCGCCCCTTCACCCGCCGCAGCACCGCCGCCGCGCCCTCCGACTTCCCGTAAAGAGTCCGCGCCGCCCGCCCGCCCCGAGCCCGCCCCGCACCCCCCGCCTCCGCCCTGCCGGCTCCGCGGGGCAGCCCCGAGACCGCGGGTGCGGCCGCCGCGCCCCCCCGGCCCCGCTGCTCCCCTCAGACCGCGGCGCGGCTCAGCCGCCGCCCGCCCCCCCCCCCCCCCCCCCCCCCCCCCCCCCCCCCCCCCCCCCCCCCCCCCCCCCCCCCCCCCCCCCCCCCCCCCCCCCCCCCCCCCCCCCCCCCCCCCCCCCCCCCCCCCCCCCCCCCCCCCCCGCGGATCCCTCCGCGCCGCGCTCCGCTCCCTCCGCCCCGCTCGCACTGTTTGGGAGCAACCGGCCGAGCCAGCGGCGCCCGGCCCCGCCAGCGCAGCGCGCACCGGCCGAGCGCACCCACAGCCCGGCGCGACCCCCGGCGCGACCCCTCCCCTCCTGCCTCGCCATGTCCCTCAAGCAAGCGGCGGCGGCGGCGCAGCCCGCCGGCAACAACCGCAAGCCCCCCGGCGGCGGCGGCGGCGGCGGCGGCCCCGGCCTCCCGTCAGCCGCGGGCAGGCAGAACATGGGCAGGTGGGTGCGCAGTGCCGCGGGACCGGCCCCGGCTCCCGCTGCGGCCCCGGCGCGGGCGCCGCTCGCCCGCCCCCGCCGCCCCCCCCCCCTCGCCCCCCCCGCGCCCCGCACCGGCCTCTCCATGGGCGGCGGCGGTGCGGGCGGTGCGGGGGGGGGGGGGCGCGGGGCCCGCAGCATGGCGGGGCCGGGGCGGGGGCCGCGATGGCGGCGGGCGCGGCCCCGCCGAGGGGGTTCCGCAGTGGCGGGGCGAGGCCGGGCCGCGGCCGGGTTGCCCTTCAGGCGCGGGGAGGGCACGGCGGGGGAGGCTCCGTGGCGGGGGGCGCCGACGTGACCCGCCTGCCGAGGCGGCGCGGGGGGAGCGGGGGGCGCGGGGCCCGCACGTGCCGGGGCCGGCGCGGGAAGGGCCGCGGGCGATGGCGGCGGGGCCGGGGGGCGGCCCGGGCGGGGAAAAGGGGGCGGCGATCCGGGGCCCCGCGATGGCGGCGCGGCGCCCTCGGCTCACCCGGGGCGTGTGTGTGTATTTATTTATTTAAACATCATGGGGATATTATTATTTTATATTATTTTTATTAGTAGTTTCTTGCGCTACCTTCGTTATTATTTTTATCATTCTTATTTTCAATTTTCTTTATGAATATTATTTATTTTTTTTTTAAATGGGAAGCGCAGTGAGATTCTCGCGGGAAGGCAGGCGAGGCCGCCCCGCTGGATGGTGGCTCCGAGGCCTCGCCTTCTCCCGGATTTTTGGGGCAAGGATCCTGCAGAGGATGAGCTCCCCCCTCTCCTCGCCTCCTCTCCCCTCCCGCCCCGCACTCGCTGCCCCTGGAAGATCCATCCCGCTCCTTCCCATGGCATTACGTACACAAACCCACACCGATTTTCCTCTTCCTCTCTCTCAAATAATAAACTTGGTAGTGCCGTGAATTTTTCCGGGGCTCTGGGGGTCATAACAAACGATCAGAGCGGGACCGAAACAGTTCTGAAGGTCACAGTCGCTCAGAGCAGTTTCATTTCGAGTTTTATTCGTCTTCCTCCTCCTTCTTGCTCAGTTTTGGGCCCTGGCAATAAAACGGGAATTTTCAGTGGCCCCATTGTTGGACATCACTGGAAATGGGGGTTTACTTTGTTCCCGGCCCGTGGAACTGGAAGAGCTTTGGAAGGGTTGAAAAGGACAAAATAAATAACAACAACAATCCCTCGGCAGCTCAGGGCACCCACTCGGTGGGTTTTACGTGTGGCATTGGGCTGGAGGTGATGCCTGCTGTGCTCTGTCCCTGCCAGCACGCAGTGGCACTGTAGAGGTTAACGTGAAGGGCAACAAAACCCACAGCTGATTTTTTTTTTCTGGAATTCAGTCTGATGGGGAGCACTTGCCCCCGTAGATTGGGGCATTTGATTTGCAATTTCACTCCTGAGTCTAATCCTAAAGCCACTGGGTTTCTCCTGCCAGTATTGCCTTTCTAGTTTTGCTGGAGAAATCCCATCTCAGAACTCCTTAGGGGGTTCTAGTGGGGCTCCCGAACAACTGACATGTTCTCAGAGGTCTCCGCACTCTTTTTTTGTTCATTTTTCAAGTTATATCTGAAGGGGGGTCTGTAAAATTACAGCCCCATGAAACATCTTAAGAGAACTTTAACCTATTGCTGTCCTGAAGAGAATTTCTGTCTTTTTGGGAATACAAATTCAAAGACGGTTCATTTTGCAAATCTGTCCACGTAAATGAAAAGCTGAGTGGCTTTTCTGTTTGAAAAATCAAAATTTAGGTGGCCTGCATCTTCATATCAGTTTGATGCATTGTATTATTTAATAGAAACTTCAAACATCCCCAGTTTTTGCCAAGCTTTCCTCCCAGCAGCTCATTTCCCTGCAGCCCTAGCATTCCCTTTCTTACCTAAAATACAAAAAAAAAAAGATACTTTTCATGCCTAAGTTGCTTTTAAAAGCTTAGTTTGGGCAGAAAGCTCGTGGGTAATTAGCTGTCCTGGGCCTAATTTTCTGCTGGGAGTTTAGAATTGGGCTGAGTTTTTGGTCCTTGCACCTCTGATCACGAGTGGAGGGTGTTGGTCTCCATGGACTCACAGTGATGGACATCTCTGCTTCATCCTGGTAAAGGGAAAACCTGGTGTGAACAAACAAGACACTCCAGTGGTTCTCATTATACTGTTAATTTTCCCTTTACATAAGGGGAAGAAATCAGAAATTAAGGTGTCTTTAAGGGGTTCAAGAGGAAAAGAAGGATTAATACCTTTTTTTATGAAGAGGCCCCAAGTGAAATGCTGGGTTTGATATGGCAGATGGGCTGAAGGGGAGATACCAAGAGCACAAGGAACTGTAATTAGGGAAAGTGTGGACCTGGTTCCCAAACCTGCTCCCTGTGCTGGTCACAACGTTATCTAACATCTGCTTTTTGTGTCTGAGTTGAGTTCTGCCCTTATGCAAGCACAGGAGGGTTGGCTGCACTCTGGTTGGAAGTTGTATCCATCCCAGCCTTCCTCCAAGCCCTTCGTCCTTTTTTGTTATTAATTTTCCCCACTGTTATTTTGTCTGAAGGCAAAGACTCAGGTTTTGGTTACAATTGTGGCAGAAGGGATTTTTCATTTTGGTAACTTTCTTGCCTAACCGGACTTGGGGGGTCATTTGAGAAGGCCCCAAATTGCTACCCTTTAAAAATGGCTTTTCCCATTAAAAAAGCTAAAACTGAAATAATCCCATGGATAAGTCTCAAAAACGAGCCACACACGCTTTTTGCCGACATTTATTTTCTTTTTTTTTTTCCCTTGACATCCTTTTTTTATAAACTTAAGTAAAAGGGCAGGAGAGGTGTCAATCCTGTTCAGACTGAAGGAATTAGGAATATTGAGTGCCAAGGCACTGGCACATCATGGGAGTGACTGTTCTGGAGGGCTGATCACACATGCCATTCAGAGGGTTTCTGGTTTGTTCTCACATCTTTGTGTGGGTTTTAGTGCAACTGTGCAAAACTGCTGAGCAAAATGCCTGGCTAACCTGCAGGTCTCTTCCCTTATCACTGGCAATGCACTTCAGCATGATATTATATCCCTGATTTTGAGTAACTTTTAATTTAACAACTGATTAATGGCAGTGTAGATGAAGAAGGTTCTACAATGACTAAGCCCATCAACAGGTTACTGGTGTGCACTGGGTCAGACTGGAGGCAGGTTATTCCATATCCAGATGCTACAGAAGCTGTCATTTCTTGTGGAAACACGAATTGACATTATTGATGTCAGTAGTGGGGGGAAGAACTACAGAAAGCAAACCTGCAGGACTTGCATAATCTTAATTGACAGCTTCGATTCATTTGACTTCATACAGCCAAACACTGCACTGAAATAAAACCTTGTGCTTCTGATTTCTCCCTCAGAAGAAGAGCCTTCCCAGCTCTCTGCACTAAAATTCTCCAGAATATCCTGTAAATTTGCTTTCCAAGCTGCAGTAAGATCAGCCGGTGCTCCAGAAACATCCATTCACTCCTGAATTCAACACTCTTTGTAGCTGCACTTCTGCTCTAGGCATTGATTGCAGGGTGCTTGCATTTATTTTTTAGTCTGAAAATGAAGATGTTGCTGAAGAGACAAGCTGAGACTTTCTTTCACATCCAGGACTTTGTTTCCCTTGCCTTACTTTTCACTTAACTGGGAAAATAGAAACGTGTGACCTTGTTTTCCTTATACAAATGCTCTACTTGGCATGTAAACACAGGGAGGAGGAGGGATGTGAGGAATAGGGTAGGAAATGCTCATAAAAATAGAAAAAAAATGTGCAAGTTGCTGCTGGGGAAAAATATTTCTTGTGCAGCGTTTGGGCCCTGCTGGAGACTTTTGACTCTTCAGGTGTCAGTGCTGGACCAGAGGAGTTGGCTGCTAAGTGTGATTGCTTGGGGGGTACTTTGTAGCTTCTGATTTTCTATCTCTGCCACCCCAAAGCAAAGGGTGTCCAGGTTGGGTTTGCCAAACTGCCCAGGTTTCCCTTTAACCACATTTCTGCAATGCAAAGTGCGTTTTTTTAGAGATTTTTTTATTTTCCATACTTGCTGTAATGAAAATGGGGTTTTAGGTAGCAGTGCCAAATTACTGCTGACCCTAGTGGATTCCCCCCATTCTTAATTTTCCTGTCCTGTTCTAAATTATGTTAAACTTCTGGCAAAACCCACTTGCTTTCTGCTTTTGTAAAGGTTTTAAGTGTTTTTTTTTTTCATTTGGGGCATCAAAGATGTGTCAAAGGGTAGTTTGAACTTGAGTCTTTGCCTATTGGAATACGAAACTCAAGCTGATGGGCTCTGTGTTAGGAGAAGACACAGTTTTGGCTGAATTGTTGAATTGAATTGGTGAATATCTTTATTTTTTTCATCTTGGTGAATGTCTTTCCTTTTTTTCCAATGGTTTGTGTTTAACACAAGCTGGAAAACACGAGGTTGGGTCTTTAAAGGGATACTTTAGATCAGGGTAACATAAAGAATTTCTGCAGGTACCTTAACCCTTGGCTGATGTAGAAGTTGGCAGCTCTTGCCATCGTGGATGTGCACAGGCAGTTTGTTTCCTAGAGAAATGTGGGTAGGAACAGTAATTTTGGAAATGTGGTAAGAGATGGAAAATCCAGAACAGTTGGGTTGATGCTTGGAGGGAACGCTCCAAACTTTCTGACCAGTCTGGCAACCCGGTTATTTAAGTTCTAAGAATACTTTGTCACTAAAAATGGGATGGTTTCTATTGCAAAGACACCAAATCTTTCCCTCTTGGCCATTTTTGTAGCTGATGAAGGAGGAGGATCTAAAATCCTTGAGACCAACAGATGGAACTGGTGAAATCGGTTGACTTTGGCCAAGTTCTGTGGTGGTTCCATCTTTGGTTGTTATAGAAGGACAGGTCAGAACTGGACTGAACCTCTTATTTGGGGGTCCCTCATCTGGTGAAATGACTCTCAGAAACAGAGGGATCATTCCCCTGGATATTATGCAAATAGGCTGCTCCAGGTTGCCATTTAACAAATGGCAGGTTTAGGAAATGCTGAGAGTTCCTTGTCTCCACAGCAAACCCGAAGTTGTGAAGCTTCTGTGGACAGTTCTGGCTGGTGTTAGTTAAATAAAGGTTATTTGCATTAGAATTTGGGGGTTTTTTTTCTGTGAGATTAAGATTCTGCAATATTCTGAAAATGCCTGCTGGGCCCCCCAGATCTGCAGGTCCTGCCATCAGCAAATGTCACCCGTGTGGGGGATGCTCTGAGGCCACATTTGGTTGCAGAAACTTGTTTTCTCAAATGAGTGAGGTGGTAGTTTAGTGGTTTGTCATTTTTTCTTCATGAAATCCTTTCATGGCTCTCTGCTGGCCTTTATTTCTGCAGAATTTGTTGGAGGGTTATTTACGCTCATTGGGAGAAGTTCCTTTGATTTCTTGAGTCTCCCATGAGCCTTATTTTTAAGAGTATGTTATTTTGAGGGGTAGATTGGTGTTTTCACCAATTTTACAGCAGTTGAGTGCAGTTGACATTCAGTGAAGGCGTTCAAGAGCTCTGAGCAACCTGGTCTAGTGGAAGGTGTCCCTGCCCGTGGCAGGGGCTTGGATTGAGATCATCTTTAAGGTCCTTTCCAACCCAAACCATTCTGAGATTCCATGACATTCAGCTGCATTTAGATTTCAGTGTTATTGGGTTATTTTGAAACATGGACATGATTCTTTGTGTCTCTTCAACAAAATGGTTGTGCATCAGTAAGGTGGTTCTATTTTAAAAATTGATTTTTTTTTTTTCAGTAGAAGACTTTAATTTTGCCTCACATTACACTGGGCACTCCTGAAATTGTTATATAAATCTAAATCACTATGAGAAGTATTTGAAACTGGGACTTCTTGGTACAAGGAAGGCACTTAGAATTAAGCCACACCAGTGGATCTGAAGAACTGGGATTCCAGCTGCTGGGATGTTTTGGGACTCAGCTGAGCTGAGGGTTGGTTTTGTGTGCCAGTAAGGTTTGGAATTTGGAACAATGGCACAGGCTTGGTATTTTCTTCATTCTCTCCTTTAATTTGTTGTAGGTGACCCTCTGCCTACTAAAGGCACTTGCTGGCAGGTCAGGAATTTGGAGGATGGGCCTGTAATTGTCAGGTTCTGCTCTGTGGGAATGCTGGTTTTCCTGAGCCCATTCTCAACTCTGTATTAAGCTGGGGTTTGGAATTGTTATGTGGTAAGAAATGCAGCAGTTTGGGCAGTTGTTTTAATCACATCCCCTGTGTGTGTTTAATTCCAGAGGCCGCAGCAGTGGCAAAGGACCACCCCAGCCTACGGTAAGTGTGGGGTTCTCCCCATTGTACCACTTCTAGTAGGAGGAAACAACTTAAGAAACAGAAGAGTAGCAGATACTGGAATGTTCTCCCGTTTTTTTTCCCTTTGGATACTTTAAACTAAGATACAGTTTTCTAAAACGTAGCATCTTGCATTCATTTAAGTCTCCTGGGAGGGTGAAGGTTCACTTAAACTTTTGACTACACTTACATAAATATTCTGCATTTTCCTGCAATTCTGGTTATAGATGTGAATAACATTTAGCTTAAGGCAGTGCTTTTTGAACTAGTTCCTATCTGGAGATTCTGACATTGGCTTGTCTTTTAAACAGGTTTAAGACAGCATTAAATTAAATATAAATATAAAATAACTGTAATAATATATAAACTAAAAATATGAAATATATTTGTTTGGCTTTACTATAAAATTGCTAACTCAGTAATCTCCTACCCCCAATGCTTTTAGTTACTCTCAAGGTTGAAGTATAGGTATGGCTTGACTTGTGGAACATCATTTTATCAGAGCTAAAGATGTGGATCTTTGAACTGCACCCATCAAATATTTGCCCATTTGTTGTTGGCCTGGTTTTCAAAGATGGCTCATTTGGGGGAATGGAGCAGAAGTAGGGAGGTTTGAAAGGGCCGCAGTTTACTTACATTAATGTTTATTGAAGATATCAAGGCACTCGAGTGAAAATAAAGAAGCTTTGAGGGAGTCTGGCGAAAAAAGGCCACATGCAAACACTAAACATCATCCCAGTGTTGCTGTTCTTGTGCTGAGCACAGGAATGTCCTCAGAGGTGTCTTTGCAGCCCAGGGAAGTGGCTGGCACACAGCAGCGAGTGGATTAAGGAGCTGACAGTTGAAAAGATGTGTTGTCAGTGGAAAAGCTCAGAACGTGGTGAGGTCCCTGCTTGTTTCACAAGCACGGAGTTGACAGGGAGAGATACCAGAGGCTGCAACAAAGCACAGACATCCTCACCAGAGAATGTGTCCTGCTGGTACCTGGTGAGCTCTCCCAGTCAGGCTTTCAAGATCCTGGTGCTGCAGTGAGTTACTTTGGACTAATTTAATAACAGGGTTTGTAGCAGTTTGGCAGTCCACGATTTGATGACTTTGGCTCCTGTTAATGGGTGCAATCAGGGCTGGGAGATGAAAAGATGTGGTTCAGCAGCCTGAAAAGCACCTTTTCACTTCTGCAGTGCTCGGAGTGCCTTGCTCTTGATGGTTCTTGAGGCAGAGAGGGATGTCAGCAGGGCTTTTCCAGGCAGAAAACAAAGCCCTGCTGACACCCCCCTGGAGTCTGTGCATGAGCCAGAGAATTTCAGTATTGAGTGACATCTCCTTATTTATTGAGTGGGATTTTTATCTTGTTTGCAAGAGTGTTAGATCTTTAGTTGGTCAGAACAATTAAATATGCATTCTATGTATATTGCCTGAGTAAGGCTTTGAACCAGTGTTTCTAGGAACTCGTATTAAAGGCCAGCATTGCTTTGGGTGCCCTGAATTTTAGAATTGTTGCAAGTTTTGCTCCTATCTTCACGATTTCTTTCTTATTTTTCAGATTTCTTTCGATGGCATCTATGCAAACATGAGAATGGTTCACATACTCACATCAGTTGTTGTAAGTCTTTCTGTTTACGAGTTCCTGTAGTGACAGAATTGTTAACGAGTCCAGTAGTTGTAATGGGATGAAGTGAATATTAAATTTTAAGCACCTTCTGCCAGAATTGAACTTGATCTCAGTAATTCTGTATTTTTGAGTTGGAGAGGTTCTAATTTGCAGAGGTACAGCAGATTTCTTAGGTGCACTGGTCATATTTTCAGTTTTCTGTCTTTGGAGGGGTTGTGGGTAAATAAAATGGATCTGTGTGCAGGGATTGGAACCCTTTCTCCCACATTCCAAAGGAAGTCCTGACATGCCAGAATTAAGTCCCACATCTCCTTGAGTCCAGGCTAAGCTTTTATCCTTCTTTCTACCCACACATGCACAGATCTTGGTTTCCATCAAGAACTTCTTTCTGCTTTAACTGGTCAAGGGTCTTGTAAGAACCAAATCTGCTCCTGTGAGGAACTTTAAATCCCTCCAGAGCAGCCCATACACAACCAGCTGTTTGCAGCTGCAGGGCACAGCAGTGTATCTAGAAAGTGGCAGGTGTTGGATGAGGAGATTTAACTGAAAATTGAGCTGTTTTTTTACACAATGCACTTATGTAAGGAATACATGCTTAAGGAAATCACTGAAATGTCATTTGCCTCGTAGAAAGCTTTATTTTCATTTTTTCTTGTGTCCTAGGGATCCAAATGTGAAGTCCAGGTGAAAAATGGTGGTATATATGAAGGAGTTTTTAAAACCTACAGTCCTAAGGTAATTTTTTTTAACATTTTGACTCTTATTTTCAAAGCTCCCGCTAATCAGTGTTTGATTAAAATGTGAATATTTTGTTTAATTAGAATGTTTACTATGAATCATTTCGACTGCTTGTACAAGCAGATTGTAAATGCCTGGGTTTTTTTTTGCAAGTGGCTGAATTGATTGAGTAGCTGATGGTGCATTAATTCAGAGGCTTTCCCTGTGTCCCCCAGTGTGATTTGGTGGTTGATGCTGCTCATCGGAAAACTGCAGAGTCCAGTTTGGGGCCAAAACGTGAAGACATTCTGGAGAGTATCCTGTTCAAGTCTTCAGATTTTGTTATGGTGCATTTTAAGGATATGGATACCAATTATGCCAGAAGAGGTATATTTGTTTTTCAAGTTGTTTGTTGTCATAAGATCATAAGTCAAGGGGTTTTTTTTTTAAGTAGGTGCTTCAGGATGCAAAAATTCAAGTTCACATTTATATTATTAATGAGTGTAAAACTCCTGAAATCTCATTTATCAAATATGTTTTAAATGGGTTGCAGAACCTTTGCTAGGCCACTTGGCTTTGGTGTCTGGAAAGCAAAGGCTTGGTGGTTTTACAAACCATTTTGTAGATTCTAGGGGAGGTTGATTTTTTGGGGGTAAATATCTTTTTAAATTACTCTGTTACATGTTATAGAAGAATCTATGAAGACACAAATTCTTTTTCAGGCTTGATTTAGATACAAAGCCTATATTGAGTTAACTTCTGTATCCAAACATGGATTCACAGAAATATTCTAAAAATACTACTGCAAACAGAGCTAAAAGATCTTTAAAAATCCTCCGCTTGTGTTTTTAATTTCTGCTTTGCTACTCATAGACTTGTAGGCTTTCCAAAATACGGAAGAACCTCGTGGGGTGACAGGCAGGTCTTAAAATCTTGAAGACATGGCTTGAAACTGTCAAAATTAAATTATTTTACAGACAGTCAGGCAGTTTTCATACTCTGACTGTGCGACCTCCAAGCCCCTAATTATTTTTCTGGAACCTGAGAGTCTCCGAAGTCAGACAGCTCAATTCCTGTGCAGATTTCTCTCTCTTTTGGGCAGCAAATTTGAAGGGTTTTTATGCTTTTGTTGCTGATTTGCTGGGATAAGGCATAAAAGCAAATGCACAGCTTTGTGTGGGGGGTGGAATTGTATATGTGTACATTTACAGGTTGATTAACAACTCTCTCTGGGAGCTCAGTGGTCATTGCAACATGTTTTATTCCCATTATCAGAGACTTAGAGATGTGTAGGGACAGAGGACATTTAATGAGATCTTTCTCTCCTCACCTTGTGTGGATGTTCTTGCCTGATTTAAAGCTGAAGAGTGAGAGGTTTGTTTTTTTTTTTTTTCCAAGGAATTTTGCTTTTCCCAGAAGATGATGCATAATGTCAGAGCGAGTGTAGCATTGAAATGCAGATAGGTTCCAGGTTCTGGATGGGGCTTGGAATTTAAATCACACAAGAACTGTTTTCTAATGGGTCTGCTGTGAACTTCACTTTAATGTTAATGCAAACTGGGCTCTGCCTTATCCAATCTGTATGGATTTTGAGCAGACTGAAGGACAAATATGCTCCTGCTTCTAGGAATGGATGTTTTCTAGAAGAAAATGACTGCTCCAGGTTGAGCAGTCCCTCAGTTCACTTCATTAGGTGGAATAGCTTGGAGTGTAAATCTCTTAAGTACTGGAGAGGAGAGTTGAAATAAAGCTGTGGAGACTTGGAGCAAGATAAACTGGGAGGCTGCAAAACTTGATAACTCATAGTGGGTAAATTAATCTGCTTTCCATTTTGTCTCCAAAACGTGTTATCTTGAAATGACACTTGAAAGTGGAACTCAGTCTCTGATCACACCTTCAAATTAGAGCAATGAGGGGCTTTCTGCTTGCTGGGTAATTAAATAAGCAAGGATTCAAAAGAATGGAAGTGCACACGTGAACTGCTGTCCTTCTGTTCGTGTAAATAAACCCAAATCTTCATGGTGGTGGGTCAGATGAGCCTGGGATTCACAGTGAAAACTGAGTCAAACTCCTGGGTGAGGAGAGGGTGCTCCTTGTCTTGGGAATGGTCACTGCCTGCTGCCCAAAGTGGGACAGGGGCAAATACCTCTAAATTGTCTAACCCTCAGTGTTTTTTGGCTTTCATAGACAAGTAAGGAGACAGTTTGGAAATATGTGATTGGAAAGGCTTTCTCTGCTTTAAAAATGTAGTCAAAGAAAGGGGCACTTCACAAACTCTCTGAGAGGCTTTCCTGGAGTAGGGATTGTTGTCAGTCCCACCTGGAATAAGGTTTGCTGGGATCTCTGTTTGTAGTTTCTTACCCCTTAGGAGCCCGCAGGGCTTTTGGGGAGCCCTTGAACTAAACTAAATTTCTGCAGGAATTTGTGTTTTGGAAGTTTTAGTGCATCCTGGTTTCCCAGTGCAGTGTGTGGAGTACTGTGGATTGGTATTGTGGCATTTGTTCTCTGCTGGGCTGGAGGAGTTTGGGCAAGAGACTCCTGAAGATGTTCACTGGATTGAGTCACAAGTCAGGCAGCAGAGACTGGAAAAGGATGGGGAAAAAGCAGCAGGGAGAAAGGGAATGGGATGGATGGAGAAGAGAGGAAAATACAGTGGTGTGTGAAGAACCATCCAGCAGAGCCTGCCAGGCAGCTCCCAGTGCTATCAGAGCTGTGCAGCTTTGGGGCAGGAGCTGATAACTCGTCCTGCAGCTGCATCAGAGTTCAGGGGAGGGAACACCAGGCTTGGGGTGGGTGAGATGGGGAGCAGCACCGGTAGATTTGTGCCAAACATGACACTGCATCTTCAGATGCACCACTGGAGAAAGAGGGGTGTCTGCTCAGATTGTAGAAATTGGAAGGGTTGAGAGACAAACTCCTGGGTCTGTGTGGACAGGGGTGTTGTAGCAGTTACTGTTTAAAAAACAGATCTGTCCTCGCTTCCCAGACCTGTATTTGCAGCTCTGTCAGTCTGCACAGACCTTTCTGCTTGTGCAGATGCTTGTTAGGCTTCAGAAGGAATGGAAAGGATCACCTGAGGTCTCTGTGGAGCTGAGGTTTGCTGCAGTACAGGCTGCTGAATGACACATGCTTTGGAAAACTCAGGTGAAGTTGTGTTACGCCCATCACCCCCTTCCAGCCTGTTCTGTCTGCCTTTAAATTGGGACTGACACCGAGTTCTGCCCGTGCTCTGCAAATCAGCCGCTCCAAACCCGCTCTGAGGTGCAAGTGGAAGTGCTGGGCTGTGTGTTAACACGTCACATCTTTCTGCATCACCTCTGGAGTGCTGAGATCTCAGAGCTGCTGCCTGATCTGGTTTTCCAGAAGAAACTTCCAGCAGTGTTTCCTGGAGCCCTGAACGCTGATAGTGCTGCTTTGCATATGATTCAAATTTCACTGAGGCTTTGGAGTTGCCTTCTTGGCTTCTCTTGAAAGACAAGACAATTCAAACATCATAACTACTGTTAAAGTAAAAGATTTCTACAATGTTTTTATTGGGTTTTGGCACCGTTGCTGCACTCTGAGAAAAAATATTACAAATGCAATGAAAAACAAGGCAGAAGAGAATTGGCTATTTAAGCTTTTCCTTGAATTAGCACTGCAAGTGGCATCCTTCCAGGGAAAGTGTTGCAAGGGGAATAGCAGTAGGCATCTTATGAACAAAGGAAGGAAATGTTGGCTCAGCAGAGCTGGTGGTAACTGGTTTTAATGTTTCAAATCACTAGTAAGTAGTTACAAAACAAATGAGAGTTTACTGTTGAAACCTTGACGGTGAAAGCTCAGTTTGCTTTGGGCCTTGCTTAGGCTTGATCAAAGCTTCAGTGTGAGCATCAGCACCTTTGGCACCGATGGGTTCCATGGCATTTGAACTGCAGACTTGCCCCTAATTGCATATTTTGTTCTTCACCATCAGTAGCTCAAAATATGTTTGTGGGAACAAGCACATTGGACACTGAAGTTAATTAAACCCTGACTCCTAATTGCTCTATTCTGGCACTTTTTTTTAAACTAATTTAATGGCACATACTTGGAGAATTTGCCCAAGCTGAGTTTTTCCCAGAATGTATATTTTTAATTTGTGTTACTGTGATTTTTCTCTTGTCCTTGGGATTTTTTTTTCCCAGTTACCAGGCTTTAAAACAAGAAGTGAGGTCCTTGATACCCAACTCCTTTCCTTAGGAAATGTCACATTAAGCAGGTACAGAGGCAGGGGGGGCTAATTGAGTGTTACAGCTCCAGCCCTTTGTTTCACCAGGTTTTTGTTTGATCCTTAACTTGGCTTTTACCTTGTAGAAAAGGGATTGATTAAAAATTTGGCCCTGTCAAGGTGTCATGTGAATTGCTCCTTCAACAACTCAGAGATAAGAGGCACCAGAGAAGGGGAGGCTGAGCCTGGGCAGTGTCTTGTCTGTTATTACTCTGCCAGTCAGCACTTGGAGCAGCAGCCCATGTTTGAGCTCCTACTTTACTAATAATCTTAAGAGCAGTGTTTTTGTTTTGGAAACTGTTATTTTTAGAGTTTTTAGCATACATCCTCAATCCCGTCGCTCATTAATTTTGGTGGAGGCTCGTTTGACTTGCTGGGTTTTTAATCCTGCTCTCCCGTGTGTCTGCCTGGCTGTTTGTTCCAGGAAAATAGTGATCTGTGCCTCGAGGTACCGTTCTGCTACATTTAAACTTTGCCTGGAGATGCTCTGGAGACCATCCTGTCTGACTGGAGGTCTGCCTTTGTAGCTTGGGTTTCTCCTAACTTTGGATTTTCTTTGAGCTGTGGAGGTTAAACTGGCGCAGTCTCGCTTGTGACTGTCATTCTAAAATGAGGAATGCAGAGTAGTGAAGGTCCCTGTGCCCCATGATATGCTGGATCCCACTGGGAAGCCGAGCAGTGACTGTACAGACCTTACTCAGACCTGGAGCATTTGGTAGATAGTGGAGTTTTTGTTTTGACTCGTTGTTTTCCCCTCAGTTCATCTGTATCATTACAATAACAGCACTGCTGGATGTTTATGTGGCTGTTTAAATAAGAAAATTAGTGGGTTGAGTAGATGTGTCTTGTTAGGCTGGTATTTTATTCACTGTATCCAAAATGGCACAGTTGTTTTGCAGTTTGCCTGAAGGAATTTAGTAGAAATTAAAGAAACAGCCCTGTGAAACACAGATTGTCTCCATTAGGCCTCCTAACTCATATTTATCTAATCTCAGTGGAGAAGAGTTCCCTCTACTCCCAGAGAGGTAGAAACAAAGTTCACAGTTTCCTAAGTGCCAGAAGCAGCCTCCAACTTGCATTTGCTGTAAAATGTCCAATCTGAGAGGATCAGACATGAAACACTGAATTAATGACGAGGCAGGAGCAGCTCTGGTTTGTCTGGGTTAAAATAAAAGGTACATGGAGAGTTTCCAAATGAAAGAGCCTTAAAAATGTGCTTTTTAGCTACTGCTTAGCTGTGGATTGTAGCACTGTGTTACTATGTAGTTTTAGGAGACATTTGAACATATATATAGTATATAATATAGTATATTTTCAAAGTTGTTATGGTGAAGGGAAATGGAGAGATGTTTTCCAGTTGGAATAACTTAGAAATCTGTAGGTTATTTGGAGGGGTTTGGGTTCTTTTGTGAAGCAAAATGGAGCTGTTCATAGTGAGAACATTGCTGAGGTTTTACTATGAAAATGATCTTTGCAAGGTGGGAGATGTTTGATTAATTCTGTGAGAGGGACTCAGGAGTTCAACTCTGCCTGAATTCAGCCATATAACAAAAAACTCCACCTGAATTTGTATCTGATGTCTTCCCAACTCCTCCTCTCTCCGTATCGTTGTAGTTCCCTCAGAAACAGGTAATTTTTTGGCAGTCACTGTGTGTCTGCATCTTGCCTTTCGTAACGCTTTTGTTCCCATAATTTACACCAGAAACTTAATCCCTTTGTTTGTGCATGTGGGACTTGGCAGGAGCACATAGAGAATCTTGCAGTCAGTTGGTGATTTCTGGTGTCAGCCTGGCTTTTCAGCTCTTCTGGAGGGTTGAAGTGGCTGAAATTTGGGATCAGCACACAGGTAGGGCAGGGGCACGTTTTGTTTCCTATAAGCTCATTAACAATGTTTAGTTGCTCCCCCACAGCTCTTTGTGCATGGGTTGAGGGAGCATTTCATGGGATAGTGCTGGATGGTATTAGGCAGACTCAGCACAGTTAATTTTCATGCCAGATCATACCAATAAATGCAGAACTTCACTGTGAAATTGGGTAAAACAGGAATAATAAGCAGTGTCAGCAGCCTCTCTTTAGAACATCCTCAGTGATTGTGTAAAAGCTGTTACATCAGTGGCCAACTTCATATGTTGTGAATTCTTTTCATAAGAGCTTTAAAGTCCATTTTTCTTAGGAAGATTTTTAGATCTTGCCAAAAGTTAATTTAGGCCATGTTTTTCCGTGTCTGGCACTGCCTGGGGATTTGATTCCAGCTTTTCTAAGGGTCTGAAATGTTTGCTCCTTATTTTATCAGTAAAGGATAATAGGAAATTCTAGATTGAAGACTTACTTAGATTAGGTTGATTTATTTATTTGTAAGCTTATAACAGACTAATTTGATTTTTGAAAGTTCTGCTTAAGGATGGCAGCTCTGAGATGTAGTTGCTTACAAATACAAAAGCTTGGCTTCCCTGAGGAGTGACTTTTAGATATTTTTATACAGCACTTTCAATATTCTGGTATTATTCCTTCTTAAGTCTGGCTTGAATGGAACATGAACAAGTAAAAAAAAATAGCTTGTGATCCTTTTTTTTTTTTTCCCCTCATGTTTTCATAATTTTTTAAACAATAGAGGAACCTTTCTGATTATTTATTCTCATATGTTGATGGAAGCAAAAGGGAGAGAGTTCCTGAATATTTCTGTTGGTGTGTTGAAGAGTTGTGGAAATAGAAAAAAATCAGATATTTGAAGGGAAAATTGTATTTTGCCCATTCAGGGAATGAGATTGGGTTCATGCTTTTTTGATATTTGCACAGTGTTTTAGTTTGCAGTTGTGTGGGCTGGTTGGAAAATTGTATTATAGAAACCTTGGGTTTTCTAGAGGAACAGGGATCCTCAGTCTTTTTTCTCTCTTTTTCTTTTCAAATATTCATGTAGTTGGTATAAAATATTTCGAAATAACTAAAAAATAATTCTGTTCTTTGATGTGTTAGAAGTTGGTCTCGACTTCCCTAGTTATTTTAAATTTCAAATATGCACCTTTCTAATGTCCTGTGGAAACCAGCAGCTGCAAGGGAAGGGGAATGATGATTATTGAGCCTATGATTGAGCTGCTATTTGGTTGTTCCTCAGATAAAAACCAGGGTACTTATCCAAGTGATTTCACCCCCATCCCTCCCTGCTCTGTTGCAGATGCTTTTACTGATTCAGCCATCAGTGCTAAGGTGAATGGAGAACACAAGGAGAAGGATCTGGAACCGTGGGATGGAGGAGAGAACACGGCGTCCGAGGAGCTCGAGGCGCTGGAGACAGATGTTGTGAGTGGTGCTTTTTGATGCCCCCTGAAAAGAAGCCTTGAAAGAATTCCTTGATTTTCATCTAGTAATGAACTTTGGAGGGAAATCGCTGTCCTGCCCCGTGATGGTGGATGTTCAGTCTCTGCCAGCAGCTGCCACAGTAGTTTTTACCAATTTGAATAAGAAAAGCTGGATTTCAAATGCCACTCGTGGCAAATATTGACAAATGGCAGCTGCTGTGGTGAGGGACGTGTTGGGCTCAGGGACTGGCTGAAAGAGCAGCTTTTGTTCAGGCCTCCAAATTCAGCAATACACCAAAGTGATTTATGTTTAATCAGAGCATCCCTGCCTGACTGTCACTGCCTTTGGAAAGGATGGGGAGATCGTGCTCAGCTCGGTGTCCCTGGGCTTCACAGGGGGAAATAGATGGAAGTCTGACCAAGCACAGATACAATTTTAGCAGATTATGAACCATTAGATGAAGAGTATGGCCTCCAATGCCATTGCTTTATATATCATAGCCAGCTTTTACTCAAGGGTGCATTATTTTAGCAAGGTAGTCAGATGGCAGCGTGTTAAACAATGCTGCTGATTAGAGGAGAATCTGCTCCTGTTACTGTGGAGCACATTTGGGTAGAACGGTTCTGTCAGTTTATTCAGATTTATTAGAATAGTCAGTACTGTCAGTGCTTTTATAAAATATTCAAAACATTTCTCGTGGTGCTTGGGTGCTGCAAGGGCAGTTTTACTGAAGGGGGGAGGTTGTGCAGATCAGCAGGAGTCTTGAGCCTGTGCTGTGTCTCAGGGAATTACACGAGTGCATTTCAAAAGTTGCAGCACTTGCCACAACAGGAGATGTTTCTGATAGTCAGAAGTGTCAATTTGCACCTTTTTGGAAAAGGCAAAAAGACATTAAAGTGTGTATTTCGTGCTAGCCAATGTTAATCTAGTATAGAGTGGGTAAAACCCCCTCAAAATCGATACAAATACACCCCAAAACTGGCTTTTGGAGGTAAAAATCTGCATCTTACGAGCGAATTTCCATAAAGTAAATTGTGGCTTTATAACTTGGTTCTCTGGACAGTGAATTCACAGGCCCAGGAAAAAAGGCAGAAGGTTTTAACTTCTGCCATCGGCCCTTAATTTTAAGGGAATGTGTTTCCAGTGTCATTTTGAAAAACAAGCATCATTTTCTTCTAGTCTAATGGATGGGATCCCAATGACATGTTTCGTTACAATGAAGAAAATTATGGTGTAGTATCAACTTATGACAGCAGTTTGTCTTCTTATACGTAAGTTCCAAAATATTTTGTTATTAGATTTGTCTTTAATGTTCTCCCTGGTTTGACAGACTTTACATTCTGAAGCTAATTCTGCATAGTTTCTGAAGCTGTGGACTCAAATAACTGAAAAAGCAATGAATGAATAGTGCCTAAGAAACCTTGCCAGCGTTCTGTGAATAGTTTGATGTAGAAATCTTTATATATTCCCTTAAATGGGCACAGCTCACTCCCATTGCAACGTTTGCTGAATTTAGGCATGTAATAATGCTTATTTATTCCAGGAACAGGGGGGGAAACTGGGAGTTTGTCTTTATGTAGCTGCTGTACCTATAGTTTGTGTTTAACCCAGCAGAGCAGTTTGACTAAATCCTAATTTTATTGAGACAATTGATCTGGAATGTGGAAAAGTTGCTGATAACCAAGGGAGGGGGTTGTGTGCTGGGGATGACTTGTTTAGCAGACTTGTCCAGCTCTAAACTAGATTTTTAGTTACAGCATAATAACTGTAAATATAAATATAAATAACAGGCCTTATATTATAAAATTTGAATATAAATAACCATATGAAAACTGGGATATAGAAGTAGTGTAAAGCCTGCTCTGGCAGTGTGGATTTATTCCCAATAGTCTGCAGCTATAATGTTCACTGCAACTGCAACACAAATGGACTGCAGATGTTCAGCAGCCATTGTGAAATGTCTTTAGTGTTTCCCCACTCTTTTAACCCCCAAAGCAGCAACTTCTTTTTGAACATCGAGGAATGGCAGTGAATATTTTGACTTTTTTTTTGTGTGTGTGTGTGGTGCACTTTGTCTCCAGGTCTGTGGTTCAGCAGTTTGATTTTGCTGTTTGCTTCAGACAGACCTGTAACATGGTGATAATCAAAGTGTCCTAATCGGCTTATGTTTGAATCCTGGGGAAGCTGTTCTTTCCTTCCCTCCACTGCTCTAAGTACTTTTTGTACTTTTGAACTTTAGTCTTGCATCTTTCTGCTCTCTGGATATTAATGGAAACAGATTAAAAAACATGAAGGTGGCTTTAAATTAATTCCGTTTTTTATTCCCCCCCAGTCAAGCAGCTTGCAAGTGGGAAGCTCTTTTCCCGATTTTCCAACCCTGTGAAGAGCAGCAGTGTAGATAAATGCTTAGATGTGCAGCTGCAGGATTGTAAAGGATTTGTTTGATTGTTTGATTGTTTTCTCTTCCTAGAGCTAAGCATTTAGCAGGTATAGTTTGTCAAACTGCATCAAGGTACAAGTTTGGGTTCGGTAAATGCATCAATCAGCTGCTTGTGTCATCACCAGGGTTCTGAACAATGTCATCGTGTCCATCCCCTTTCTCTCACCTCTTAGAAAACACAAAATCAGTCTTTGCCTGTTTAGGTTGCCACACATCCCTTCCTTTTTCTCAGTCACTTTAGATAAATGAGGATTATTGGGTGTCCTCCTTCAGTGCGTGCCCCCAGCACGAGGTCAGTGAGGCCCCATGACCATGTTTGTGAGGGTGCAAACCTTATTTACGCCGAAGGGCGACGTTTTGATTTCATATCCTTGCAGTTCCCATTGAGAAGGTCAATGGATGTCTTGACTGGCCGAAAATGTGTGTGTGGGGAAAAAATTTGGGAGGCAGTGACTGAGTGCTGGCTTGGAATTTGGCAAAGCCACTTGTTTTCCTAGTTCCACCACCAACACTTGAGTAATTTTGCATATATTATTACATAGTTGGCTGGTATCTCCACCTACTTTCTTTGTTTTTCTTTTGTATATGGTTCAAAAGACGAGCAGTAGTGATTATAGAATGCCCAGCATGGGCCAAGCCTCAGTTGTTTTTATGGAGTTTATTCTAAAGCAAGGTTGGATGGAACACCTTTTGCAGCTCAAAATCAGGGGGAAAAAGGGGTTTTGTAAAACCTGACACTTGAACAAAAATTAGGGCAGGTAAAAAAAGGAGGAAGGTGGACAGGAGGAGGTGCCAGGTATGATCCCATCTCTGGGATGTCTTTCAGTTCTCATTCAGTGTTGAATTTTGACTCGATGACTTTCCCAAGGGATGCTTTGTGCAATATACCATTGCCTGCTGTAGAGGGATACATGGAATGAGTGGGTTTGGGGTCCTGGGACATGAGAAGTCATGGATTTCTGGTCCCCTGTGCTCTGAACTGTTGCACTCATCTTTTGTGCAGTTATTCATAACAGGAAGAGCTGAAAATTCTATGGCTGGAATTACCAAAGGACTAAGGATGTTACTCTCTAATTTCAGTAGGATTGTGTCTGCTGGCAATTTGTAAATAGCTAAAAAAAAATTCAAATTTGGGCTCTTGGAGTAACTTCCTATCCAGGCAACAGACTGATGCTTTTTATTCCTGATGTTCTCAACCGTGTTAAAACTTGGAGCCTTTGCCCAGCTTTAGGGACTGGGGGTTTTGCAAGTCATGGGGAAAAGTTCTGCTCTCTGACCTCAGCTCTCTGGGCAGGTAAAAAACCACTGAATTTGCACAGAAAATCAAACCAATCCAGGAATATTGTCACACTAAAAAAGGCAGCGAGTCTGCTGGCTTAAAAACAAGTGTTTTTTTTTTTTTCACTCTGACTCGGTTAGAACTAACACTGTGTAATTTTTGTAGCTCCTTTGTGCTTTTGAATGCATTTCAGAGATTCTTTTCCTTTCCATTGTCTTTTAGGGTGCCATTAGAAAGAGATAATTCAGAAGAGTTTTTAAAACGGGAAGCCAGAGCAACTCAATTAGCAGAGGAAATTGAATCAAGTGCCCAATACAAAGCTCGGGTTGCCTTGGAAAATGATGAAAGGACAGAAGAAGAAAAATATACTGCTGTTCAGAGAAATGCTAATGAAAGAGAAGGACATGGTGTGAACACTAGGTACTTGATGCACTATGAATAGTATTTTTATTTAAATTATGGCGGTGTTTTGGGGCTGTGGCAGCTTGCTCATTGAAGCTGAGCTTTTCCAGCAGGGCTCATCAGCTTGGGAACCTTGTGTAAACAGTCCTGTGCTGGTTTTGGCACCCAGGCTGACTTGTACACCTCTGCCTGGCCCTGCATTATCTCTGTAGGGAACAGGCTTCCCCATTCTGATCTGTCACCGTGGTGAATTCGTACCAGATTACAGGAAAGGGCAGTGGTTTGGGTATGTCATGGAGAATTTCAGGCATTACAACCGAATCCTTCAGTGTCTGGGGGCTCATAAAGTGCACTGTGTGGTCAGTATCAAAAGCCAATTCATGAGGTGACTGTTAGGTCAACATCTGATAGTATTTAATGTTTTCCTTTAGCTTGATCTGAGAAAGATTAAAAAATACCAGCAGAGCGCTGGATGGGGTATTTTTGGTGCCTCTCAGTTGTGTGTTAAGACTTATGGAAGTTTGCTGTGTTTCAGAGAAAATAAATACATTCCGCCCGGACAGAGGAACAGAGACGTCCTGTCCTGGGGAAGTGGAAGACAAAACTCACCAAGGATGGGCCAGTCTGGCTCAGGCCCACCAATCTCCAGGTCTGGATCCCACACTTCAGAATTCAGCCCTAACTCTGGAGCAGATCAGAGAGTAGTTAACGGAGGCAAGTATCTGAAGTCGGAATGAATGTACAGTAAAACATTGCAGACAATTACCTAATTATGCTGCAACTGCACATGGAGTGGGTTTAGGATGTGTATTCCATAAGCTAGGGTAGCATCCATCATTTAACACAGAGGTGGTGAGTTGGACTTACAGTGGAACTGCATTTAGCTGCACTGTACTCTGCAGAGCAGAAATGTCATTTGTTTTCCTTCTCAGACACCTCTGTCTCAGATGATGGTGCAGAGTGTGGTTCTAAAGATTAAAAATTGCTTTCTGGATTCCGCTGCAAAGCTCTGTGTGGAGGAGCAGCAGTGCTGATACCCAGTGAAAGGGGGGTGGCAGGAGGAAGCTTCCCTTCCTTTCCAGTGCATGGATCAGTTCTGTTTCCCATGGAAAAGAGTAAAACAACTTGCTGGCTTTATGATGGTGTGGGATGGGAAACAAGAGAAGTGTTAGGAAAAGGAATCCAAAACCTTCCCTCCAAATGGGTATTTGAGTATTTTGTGCTGTGCACTTGGGTAATAACTAACCAGACATCACTGGGCGCTGCGTAGCAGGAGTTGGTGTTCCATAAACCAGACACCATTTTTGAGGTGGATTTCAGCAGTAGCCCGTCCTTCAGGCATCATTTTTAGAAGTTAATAAGGCTGTTCTGTGAAATTGCTGTGAATAAATGAAAAATGTATAATACTCAAGTGATTTATCTGGAGAGGAAGTCCCAGAAACATCTAAAGGTAAGTGAGACTTCCTTTTTAAAGACAGAGTCAGCTGTATAAAGGATGGACAACTGAGCCTTGCCCAAACAATGCTAACCTTGAAATTTGTCCGTACTATTTGTGGTTTCTGTCATCCTGTTACTCTGCTGAATTAACATCATATACCTAAAATATTCAGAATGGCTTGTAAATTCACTTAATTCTGTTTTGGAAACCATGAACCCTATATCCTAGATTAAAATCCTCCATTAATACTTGAGATAACTGATAAAGGCATAAATGTCAGGATTCAGACACTGAACACCGCTGTTTTTTGTAAAGATACAATTCCTAGCTGGATATTGCCCATCACTGGGTTTGCAAGTAGCACTTTGTGTAGTTATGCTGTTTGTGACCAGCTGTTTGAGACCCTCTGGTAGCTGTTAAGGACCTTGGTGAGTGCTGGGTGCTGTAGAGCATTGATAAGCCAGGCTAACAGATCAAACTTTACTGTCTATTCCTTAGTAGTATTTGTAGATCCTAATTAACCCTTTGGGGAGCTCGTGCCGTTCCGACCCCAAATTCGACCCGAAGTGGTGGAAACAACCCCTCAGAGCCTCTTGCCAAACTCAATCCCCAAAGGGTTAAACATGCAAAATCATTTTGTCATATTTTTACTTTTTTTTTTATTTTTCTGTTGACCTTTTCCTCCCCCACTCCCCTTCCCCTTCCCTCCCCCAAACCCCTAAACCCACTCCCCTCCCCTCACCTTCCCTCC